TGGGCTGGCCTGGGCTGGGCTGGGGCTGGGCATGGGCTGGGCGGCTGGGTTGGGGGGGTGGTGGGGCTGGCTGGGGGCTGGGGCTGCGGAATGGGGCTGGGCTGGGGGGGCTGGCTGGCTGGGGGAGCTGGGCTGGTTTGGGGGGCTTGGAGCTGGGCGGGCTGCGGGGCTGGGGTTATCAGGCTGGCTGGGTGAGCCTTTGGGCTGGGCTGGGCTGGCTGGGTGTTGGGTTGGGCTGGGCTGGGCTGGGCTGGGTTGGGCTGGGAGAGTGCGTGGCAATCCGAAAATGAAACTGAAATTGGTTTATTCGAAAATGGAAAGGTGTGTCTCCACCGAAAAAATGACCTTCCGGATGGCCAACAGCAACAAGCAATTTCTATTTATTTCTTTCTTGAGGGTTTAGGGTTTACGGTTTAGGGTTTAGGGTTTGGGCTTTAGGGTTTCCGGTTTAGGGTTTAGGGTTTGGGCTTTAGGGTTTCCGGTTTAGGGTTTAGGGTTCAGGTTTAGGGTTTACGGTTTAGGGTTTAGGGTTCAGGTTTAGGGTTTACGGTTTAGGGTTTCCGGTTTAGGGTTTGGGCTTTAGGGTTTCCGGTTTAGCGTTTATTGTTTAGGTTTTAGGGATTTAGGTTGCGGGGTTTAAGTCTCAGGGGTTAGGGCTCAGGGATGTTTTCTCTCTGCCTTTATTTGGCTTCAGAGGATATTATTCACGAATATCTGTCAGAGGCTTTAAGGGGCCAACCTAGAAGATGTTTAGGGTTTAGGGTTCCCTAAACCCTAAACCCCAAACCCTAAACCCTACACCCTAAACTCTAAACCCTAAACCCTGGCAACCAGGGTTTTACCAGGGTCTTGTATCAGCCTTTTGGTTCCTTAGGCTGTTTCGAGTCAGAGGTTGTGTGTCATGCAGAACTTCCCCCAAGTTTTCGGTTCTTACCACCAAACTGACACGGTAGCTTGATTCTGATCGTCTGAGTTTTTTTTTGTTTGGTCTCTGGGTGTCGGGGAGGTAACCCTAAACAGGCCCCTAAACCCTAAACCCCTAAACACCCTAAACACCCTAAACCCTAAACCCTAAACCCTAAACCCTAAACCAGCCGCCTTGGCTCGAGGCGGCTGTGAGAAGAAGAAGGAGTACATGGAAAGTGGCACTATCGCTCAGCGCCTCCTTCTTTTGGAGTTGTTCCCTGAGGCGTTCAATCTTCACTTCAGCGCTTCACCGAGGGACGGTGAAACAATCCGGTTTACGGAAAAGGTGGTACGTGCCCACGCCAGCAGGGAAGGCAATCCTCCACCAAGTCCGTTCTTCGGCTACCGCCTCCCTCTCTGCTCCCTTTACGAGCGGCAGTCATTGTTGGGCTTTTTTGCTGTGACCCAACATCCTTCAGTCGAATTCAGGGCACCAGCCTTATTGAAGGCTGACCGGTTGGCTGTCATCACCCTGGCACGTACAGAGCCTTTCGGCAGCTTCACTGCGAACATAATCGACTACTTCATCCCTTTTCCAGAAAGGGAATTTTCTCACTTGAGTCGCGAGATCATTCGAGACGAGATCTCAATTGACCGGGCTCTGTCTTCAGAGTACTTCCTCAACCTCGGACATCAGAGAAGAGAGAAATTCTACCACATCTGGGAAGGAGAAATGGACAAGTTCAGAGCTTCTCTCTCAGAAGCAGCTGGCACTGGGGACTTCAGTCTCCCAGAGGGCTTTTTGTACCTGGGAGGAAATCCCCTCTTGGTCCGGCAGTGGTTGGAAACACAAGCCTTGGCAAACGAAAGGGGTGCATCTGACTTCGTGCTTCTAGCATTGTGTGTTTCGTTGCACGGCACACGCCTTGCAAAGGACGCATCCTCGCACCCCAAATTCACGAAACATGGGGAAGGAAGCCAACGGCTCATTCGCAGTGCCTCAGAAGTCGTAAAAGAGTACGCCAACAGGATGCCGCCGGGAGGGACACTCGGCTCAGTGTCGAGTGCCCTCCCGGAAATCGGGCTACTCGCTATGCTGGCTGACAGCACGAAGCCAGCGGCTTCGTGCAGCCAGTTGAACCTCCGGGAGGAGGTGAAAACTGGGCTGATTCAGCACACCGAAGGCCTGATAGGGGGTGGAAAGCCTGATGCGGCGTCAGCCGCAAAGTCAGCCATCATGAAGTCGGACATCGGAAGCAGAAATAATCCTCTTCTCGGCGGGAACTCCTTGACTGCGGCCATCGAACCCTTCAAGAAGCTCTTCAAGGAAGACCCAGTGGTGAGGCGGGAGTCCCCCCTGGCCTCCATCATCAAACCTTGAGGGCACGCTCAGGTCGACGCAATCCCGTGACGATTTCCACAGGTTCATCCAGCAAGGTGTCGCTGGATCCGGGCCAGACTGAAGGGAGACTCTTTTGCTGAAGTATCCACAGTCAGTTTTCCACGTTGGTGTTCGGCCCAGTTTTAACATCAGCGTGATGATGTGAAGAAGCACCACGACCCAAAGCAAACAAAAAACAAAAAAAAACAAAAAAAATCGGCAAGCCCGTCAAAACCGTACTCAAGGCCATTGAAGACAACAAGCGCTGACTCGGGCCGCGCAGGGTTTCTTCTCCTTCAGAGGCTTCTCCTCCGCCAAATGGTGGGTTTTCGCGGGAACCGGCTGAGGGGGTGCAAGATGATGGTCGCAGCAAATGTACAGATGCAGACGACCACGCCTTTGAATTCAGAGTTTTCGGATGGAACGTCGGTGGATGTGATATTGCCGATCTGCAGGACCACTTCAGGGAAGGATGCAAAGCGCCCATCCCGATGAATGCAGTACTCGCACTGCAGGAGCTTCCGAGAGGGAAAGAAGGGTGGAGCAAGCAGTTCAGTGGTGAATGGAGCGTGGTGAAGTACAGACATGAACACGCATGGAGAGGTGTGGGGATTGCTTACAGACAGACAGAGTGGGCGGTTATCAAGAAGATTCGTGCAACCAGAGGGATGTGGATGCAACTCAAACATCTGGGTAATGGCTCTCGGGTTTGGGTGGGGACAGCACACTTCACCCCGGGATGTTCTCTCGCGCATTATGAGTCCGAAGTGGATCAGGTCATGCTCGCGTTACCCAAGCAGTCAGGGCCAACGATACTCCAGTGTGACGCGAACGCTCCCTTCCGGTGGGGGACCTTTGAAGGGGAAGACCAAGCTGTGGGTAGGGACGCCAAAGCGTTGGAGCTTCAGGGTAAACTACAAGAACGCGGGATGGCCTTTGTGCCCCCTCGGGCTGCTCAGTTCCGGACGCCAACCAGTCGCCCCAGGCAGCAAGGGAGGTCTGGGCATTGCATTGACATGATGGCATGCAAAGGGTTATTCAGAGAGAGAGTTGTGGTTCATGTTGGTTCGCATGTGGTAATCGGCACAGACCATGAGATCATTGAGAGCGAGTTCACCATACGACCGAAGCAGGTACACGTTCGCCACCCCACCAGGCCTAGGGTTTGGATTGGCGGAATACAGAAGGTGGAGTATCTTGATCAGAACGTACTGGTGGAATTGTCACAGCGGTGTACTAAGCCGAAGCCAGGGTGTTCGTACCGGGACCCCCCCTCGGTCAAGCAAGCTGCTCGCCAAGCTCGGTTGAACAAAACGGCTGCAGCATGGAATCACGTTCGCCGGCTCCGGAAACAAGCTCGTCGGGAGTGGGAACAGGCTCGCGTCGCTCGGGCCTCGGGTGGAGATTGGGCGGCTTTCAGGGCGTGCAAACCGCAAGCGGACACGGGCTGGATTGAGGAGTTTGCAAGTGCGCAACAAGTTGACCCACATCAGGCGGTCCACGACCACCTCACACGGGTGTACAAGGGTGAGCCTCCGCGTGCAAACTTGGGGACCTATCACGGGGAGATCAGGGCTTTCACAGAAGAGGAGTTGGACATGGCCCTACAACAGATGCAGTCAGGCAAGTCGGTGGGATGTGATGGTACCTCTAAAGAATTTCTTGCAGGCTTGGTCTCAGTCGAAGGGGGCAAACAGCACCTCCTCGAGTTCCTGACGAGGGTCCTTACCACTCAAGACATCCCATCAGACTGGAATACGCCGTTGATGGCAATGCTACCGAAAACCATGCAGCCGCTTCTCGCGCGAGACTTAAGACCGATCTCTATGGGTTCTGAAATTTGCAAACTCTTTTCACGGCTCCTGCTGAATAGATGTCTGGGTCCGCTAACTTTTTCCTCACACAGTCAATGCTCTGGTCCTGGAAGGCAGACCACTGATTACTTATTTTCGGCCCGGAGGTTGCTGGAACTGGAGCGTGAGTGGCGGCGAGGGTTGTGCGTGGCAAAGCTAGATATCACTAAGGCCTTCGACACTGTATCCAGAGAGAGAACCCTCCAGAAACTTGAGGAGAAACTGGGGGACACAGTGGAGATGAGATGCTGGCGAGATTTGCTACAACAGAACGAGGGTCTCCTGCAAACACCCTGGGGTTCTTCACGGGTATGTATGCAGCGTGGCATAAAGCAAGGTGCAGTTGAGAGTCCCATCTTCTTTGCCCTTGTAGCTGAGTTCTGCTTGGCTGAGGCGGCACAGCGGTTCAATTGGCATCAGGGGGAAGCAGCTTTTCAGGGCATGGAACATCATGACATGCTGTACATGGATGACTGCTTGTTATGGGGCCGAGGGTGCTCAGGTCTGGAGGCTCGCATTCGTCAGCTCACTGTTGTCCTTTCTGAATTTGGGTTGGCCTTAAACGGTGCCAAGTGTCAGGTTTATGTCTCGCCTCACTGGGAGGGCCCGAAGCACATGATCATTGCGGGGGTTCGTGTGGATGCCTCTGATCACCTGGAAGTCATGGGACTGCCCATGCGGGTTGGTATGAGCCTATGCGAATTGATTGGACCTTTACTGGCTCGCGCGAAATCCCAATTCTGGGCCCAGAAGCACTTGCTGCGATCTCATACCCCGTTGAAAGGCCGACTTAAGCTCCTGGAAAGGGTCGCAGGGGGGGCTGCGATGTGGTGCCTGGCGGCCTTCCCGCCGGATAGGAGTTCCCTTGGCTTCATTAACGCTTGTCATTTGCAGATGGTGATATGGACAATGCAACTGGGCAAACAACATGGGGAATCCTGGGAGCAGTTCCATAAACGGGCTTTTCGGTGTGCACGAGCAGCCTTATGTAATGCGGGTCTAGACCGATGGGGGACAACGTGGATCCGACGATGGTGGGGCTACGCGGGGCATCGGGCCCGTGGCATGCTGCGCCCGGCGCCGCCGATTAGTTCCCATTTGGATTCGTTCAGGACTCTTGAATGGTGGGAGCATGAGCGTCGCAAACGGGATGGGCTTCAGCATACACATCACTACCCACGACTCATGAACATGGAACGAACTATGAACAGGGCTGCAGGGGAGACGTGGAGAATCACCGCACAAGACAGAGGGGAGTGGAAGCGCAGAGAGCAGTGCTTTGTGGACATTCTTGACCTACCGTGGTCCAGTGGCAGGCAAACTCAAATCCTTAACTACCAGTAAAGGGTCATGGATCTCTGTGGATCACAGGTGTTATTGACGAGTCAGCTCTGAACAGCATCTGGGGCTCCTGCAGGGTTTTGTGACGCCCTTTAGCTTTCATCTTCGCGAGCCACCATGGCTTCCTTAATGATGCTTGCAGTGGCTACTTTGGGGCCCCGTGCCCTGTTTCCGAACCGAGGTATCCCTACCCTGGTAGGGGCTTTTCAAGTTTCATCCGAGGATGGCAGAGCTCTTGGAGAGGGCCACCTTTTCGAGAAGACCACATGGGCGACAGCGCGTCGCGAAGGCCACTCCGTGCTGCCCCTCGACGACATGGACAACAAACCTATGAACCAAGAATACCGTGTGAACGGTTTTGACCTCTCGAATGATGCCCTCTTCCCGGACCCCATGGATGCGCTCCCGGGCCAGAACGTCCTCCCCTTGGGTTACCCGATTCTCCGCAAGGTGACGGATCTGGGTGTCTCAAAAAGTGGGGAGCTCGACCTTGTCATGCTGATGCAGAGTGCTCCGACAGCGAGCAGGGCTTCGGGTGAGGATGCAACCCCGGTGGTCGCCTTTGCTGATGCATCCCTGGCGGACCTTCGCATGGTTCGTGAGCTACTACGAGCACGGCGACCGGGACAGCTACGCCAAGGGATTTTGGGTGGAGAACGCGAGCGTCTTTGCCCTGGGTTTGACACTTTCCTCTCGACCCAACTGCACAGAGTGTGGAACGAGCCACAAGAAGATGAGGCTCCCTGCCTCAGTGAGGGCCTCGAGCACGACCAGGTCTGGATGGCAGCGGTTGTCCAAAGGCTGTGCGCGTGGTTTTCCTTCGTGGAGCCGGAGCTTGCGGCTATTAGAAGGGCTGCCCCTACTGTGACCCCAAAAGGACCGCCGCCACCAGAGCCAATTCGGCACATGCATGGAGATGATGAAGAGGACGATGGAGGGGACGCGGCCAGTGTTGTGCAGACGCGCCAAGGGGCAGCGGATGAACCAGACAGAGCTTGGGGTGTGGAGGCTCTGGACATCCGCAATGATATCTCAATGATGCTGCGGAACATGGTGCAAAACCATGAGCAAGGGGAAGCCTGCAACGCTGCTGGCCAAATCTACAGGCACCTGCGCAGGAGCGATCCGACGAGGACTGGGTCCCTGCAGTGGGTGGCGATGCTGATCCGGCCTGAGCTCGACAAGTACCTCCTCAGGGTGTCGAGGCCTTCAGAGTATGAGTTGGACGAGGACATGCAGGGTTGGGTACAGCAGACCTTGGAGAACATAGACAGGTGCGCCTGGCACAAGGACGAAGGGGTGCTTGCCTATAGGGAGCGGCGCAAACGCAGGCGCTCTGCAGCCCCCGGGAGACCTCGGACCAGCCAGTCGTCGGAGGGCGACCACGCAGTGGAAGGGACGGGCTCGTCTTCGAGTACAATGCCGCGGGGGTCCGCCGACCAGAGCAACAGAAACCCCGCCCTAACACATGACCCGGAACGTGTGGACCGTGACCTTCACCCTGCGAGTGGCGAGGAGGACGAGGAAGAAGACCACCGGTGAGGCGAGGGTCCAGTGGAGGCAGTACAGGGAGCACAGGGGGGGGGAACATTCAGGCCCATGGCGAGAATGGACCACGGATGGGCGCCGAGATGGCGATGACAGGGTCACCACCAGTCACCGAGTCCTTGCCCCACGATCCCGCAGAGAATCCTGCCCTTCAAGTTCGGCAAGGGATGAGCCGCCCAGATACACCCGAGCTGTTCCGAGGACTGTGCCTCCGGTAGATCCGGCTGCACCAACGCCCCTCACTACGGCTGAAGCGGTTGACCTGTGGCGGCAGTTGCTCAACATCGCCTCGGGGTCCACCATGGGCGACTTGGACAGGAGTGTCCAACAGGGAGGCAGGGCCATTGGACGACAGTGCGCAGACAATATGGTGGACACGTTGCGAGAAATGGACGACCACGACCTGTCCATGATGACGGTTGGGCTCATTGATCTCTTACGTCGTCGTATGGCCGAATGCTCACAAGTCCTGGCTTACGCTCGGAACGACCTCGTTGAAGTGGAAGTTGAGCCAGACCATCAGTCGATGATGCAAACTCCCGAGCTGACCCAGCGACAACCGCCTGGTGAACCTCTGCGACCTCTCAACGTTCTCACTGACCTCCAGGACGAATTGCAGAAGCTACAGAACAAGGGGTGGGATGTTGGCCCATATGTGATGGGCTTACTTCGTCGGATGAAGGACTTCCGCCTCTCCGTGGGCAACTGTGAGCTGTTTGACATGCTGGACGCTCTGGCGGTTGCCTACGGTGGAGATATGGAATGTCTGGCAGGGGCAGCTCGGACGTCGAAGCCAGTGGGGGATTGGCTGCAAGTCTGGTGGCCACGGATCTGTAGGGCTTGCCCGGCTAGCTCTTCCTCAACGTTGGCCTCCTTCCCGGTCCTTGCAGTCGACACGCAATCTGATGAAGCGGAAGTTCTGGCCGCTGAGGAGCACGAGTACAAACGGGAACAAGCGAACTTGGCAGCCATCCGTGACCGGGAGCAGGAAGCGTATGAGGCGGAAGAGGCGAAGTGGGAGGCGGACATGCAGCGTGCTTATGAGGAAAGCCTTGGGATGGAAGCACGGGCGACACAGCCTGGCGGATCGGAGACACAAGAGGAGAGTTTTTCTTCATGGGAGAGTGAGGCACAGCGCATTGCTGAAATGTTTGCCAACGCCAGACGCAGGCGACGCCACACCCCGCCGGATTGGCGCATGTGGGACGACTGGGCTATGTTCGATGAAATGCGGGGGACGCCGGCAAGGACAAGGAAGTGGGTGGAGGTTACAGTGGGGCCACCTGAGGGTCGTGAAGGGGAAGTGAAGAAACTCAAGGTGCCGATACCGCAGGATTGGCCCAACACCCTGGTGGTTCGGGAAGCACGCCTCATGCCCTCTCCGACTAGTTCTGCCACGACAGTGCCGGTACCTGGAGCACCTGGTGATCCTCCGTCGGGGTCGCAAGGCCTGCCGCACTCGGACCTCCCGCACGCCCTGAACTTCACCGATTACGCGATTCAGTACGAGAGGTACAAACGAGGGGAAATCTCCGGGGCCTATGTCACCGCGCTCTGGGGTGAGCAGACGTGGGACTTGATGCAGGCCCAGGAGGAGGTTGAGAGGTTGGAAGCAGCCACAATCCTGGACGGAGCGGACGACCATGCAGGCAACCTGGGGGACGACAATGCAAACAACCTGGGTGCTGATGAAGGGTTGGATGGCAGTGGTGCCGGGAATGTGATGCCTGAGTCGAGTGGCATTGTACTGGGTGAGGGTTCTCATGGGCTTCCAGAGCTGGGTGAATCACATGGACCTGAAAAGGGCTCTGGGCAACCTGAGGGCGATGTGTACCAGGGCTGATCGGACGGCATCGTATGAGAGGGATTGTTGTCCTGTGCCTTATTTTCAAAGTATACTTCTGGGTCT